CCCCGCTTGCTCCCGCTGGTAAGGAATTAATTTTTATCTTAGTGGCAAGCATCGATAATGATATAATTGAAAGCAGCAGCACAATTATTCTGATACTAGCCCATTTTTTCCTCAAACACCATATGCTAAAAGCCCAGAAGATACAACAAGTCGGTAGGATGAAAGCCGCTATACCAAGAAACTGATATAACAGATCAGCCAAATAGCTACCAAAATAGCGCAGCAAATTATCTGGATATTTATTGCTAATAGTATTGAACGAAGGATCGTTTGGGTTATAAGTTACTAATAATAGAGCAATAGCACAACCTAACAGCAGCAATAAACCAGACTGTACTTTGTTATTGGAAAAAATTTTGTTGATATAATATAGCACGAATATTAACTTGTTAATATTTAGACTGCATGATTGATGGGTAGCTGTAGAACTTCACAGAGCCTATCATGAACCGCTTCGGTCGTCGCTTAAAATCCTCAAAGAACTTTTTTTGTATAGGTGGACTCCATATATCTGCATAATATTTTCCAATCAGGGAATTATTCAGATAGAGACGGTTTCCTAATGATAAAAGACTATGCTCCCAAGGCAATACGTAAGCTTACGAACCAAGCAGCTCATTTTACAAAGTCAATATTGATACTACCATACAACATATTAAATCTCAATATTAATTGTAAGTTTTTTTAAAGCGGATAATTTAAAAAGTTTATGGAGAATAGCTGTTACCTGGATCAAATAGAAAATTAAATTCCTTCCAGCTATTATAACGTTGTGGATCTAGATTATTAATAGGACTTGCCTGCCATACCGCTCTTATTGCACTATCAGATAAAGCATCACAAGCTGCTTGTGTTACATTAGGGCATATTGTTTCTTTGATCGTAACTTTTTTCACGCTACCGTCTTTATTTAAAGCTATGTATAAAGTAACTCGTAACCTGTCAAGATTTTGTATACCAATAGGTTTATTCCATATTTTTTCTATCTGTTGTTTAATTAATGATATCTCAGTGATGGAAAGGTCTAGCCTTTCGTCATATGGACCTTTGGATTCCTGGGTTTCCTTATTTTCTTTCGATCTTGCCTGTTTGTTTGATTTGGCGTTAGCCCCTTCGGAAGATTGTTCCAAATTTTTCAATAGAGCATCTAGATACTTTTTATCAGGAATTTTCCTTTTTTTGTCAACTGGTTTTTTTTCTTCTACAGGTTTTTTTTCATCGAGTATCTTTTTGTCTTCTATAGGTTTCTTGTCCTCTATGAGCTTTTTTTCCTCGATAGGCTTGCTATCTACCAGTTTTGGTTTTTCGTCAGGTAATTTTGTTTCGGCTAACTTTTTTTCTTCAATAACCTTATTTTCTTCTACAACTTTTTTTATAGGCTTTTCTACAGCTTTTTCTACAATACTGTCTACAGGTTTTTTGTCTTCTGTATAATCAGGTTTGCTTTGCTCTACTTTTTTAGCATCTTCGTTTTCTATAGATTTTTCTAACTGCTTTGTTTTATTAGGTACATTGGATTTGTTACTTACTGGTAACATTTGCAAAACTATTACCTGCTCTTCAGGAAGCGGTCTAAACAATGATGGTAGACCAAATATGAAAAAATACATTAATAGTAAATGCAATATTACTGAACAAATAAAAGAAACAGAAAAAACGTTATTATTTTTCATTATGCTTAATATTGGAAACTAGTGCTACTTTAGAAAAGCCAGCTGCCTGAATTTCAGCCACCACATCGACTATCTCACCATAGGGTACATTTTTATCACCTCTTACAAAAACTCTAGTGTCTTTTTTTTCTTTGGTAATATTGGTTAA